AAAGCTACATCCTGACTGGAGTTTACTTAAATATGTGAAACAGTTCTCTCTGCTGGTCCAGGAATGTGATGAAGAAAGTCAGTAATAATAAATAGGTCTGTCCAATACCAAACAAACAAGGACCAAAAGATGAAACTACAAGTCAAGTAAATGCAGCTGCTACTTTATATAATACATAAACTCATGATAACTACCATATGTATATCTTTGGTTTACATATACTTTCCTTACAGTAAAAAATAAATAACTAAATAAATATATATATATATATATATATATGTTTATCAAAGAAGGTAAATATATAAACATTTACGTTTCTGATGAGGTTTTCCACACGCAATGTAGACGGAGAAGGCTGTCTCTAATATTCAGGATTGATTTGTGGATTTGACCCATGAACACATACAGCAGTGGGTTCAGGCAGCTGTTGAGAAAGGCCAGGCTGGTTGCTATGGGGACTCCGATAGTGGTGACATGGTTTAATGTTTCACTTGCATGAGTAGCCATGTTGATCACCACCGACCACCAAGATTGAGGAACCAAACTGCTCCTTTCCCGAGCTCAACAAGAAAAAGGGCTGGCAGCAAACAATGTGAGAGACTTTCCCAGCTCAGCATTCGTAATCCATACTTCTCATACTTCCATATACAGTATATCTGGATATATATCGTATTAATTTTCTCCATCCTTGTCTTGAGACCAGCCTGTGATGGCAACATTGAAAATAAATGTTAATAATAATAATGATAGTAATAAATATCATCGTCATCATAATCACAAAAGATAAGATAAGATAAGATAAGCTGTTCCTTTATTAAACCCAAATTGACACAGCAGTACAGGGGAATGTAGTGCAACAAGTAAAGAAAGAGAATAAAAGATAATAAAATATAAAATATATACACTATATACAATAAAGTGGAATGTGGTAAACCTGTGTATATCTGTCCATGTGCAATGTTCTGTGCAAAGTATTGTGCTTGTACACAATACATCCTGCATTAGTTAATGCATGAAATCATCATGAATCATTATGCATTAGCTCGGTTGTTCAAAGAATGCCCTGCGACGACTACACATAGGCAATTTACACCTCCGACCACCAGGTGGAGCATCATTTTTTTAGACATAAATGAAAGCATGCGTGTAGTCGCCACGGGGGGGCGCTCTTCACAGCGAGCAGCTTCTGGATGCTCTTGTTGCTGCACACACACCTTTATTATGTATATCTATGGCTGCACAGCACCGCTCTGTGTTTGAGAAAGAGGGAGGGGGAGAGAGGGTATGGACTATTGCAGCAAAGTATGTATATAAGTAAACTATAACCAAAACATAATAAGAATTGAGCTTTAGAAAAACTACAAACATTTTACAAATATCAGTAAGGCTGGATCAAACTAAGTGTGAATAGCTTAGGCTACAGTGCCTTTAATATAATAATGTATGTAGTGGTATAAAAGAAGTTAGATTTAAACATACTAATAAAATACTAATCATTACTGGAATAAATGCACAAAAACACAGTAAGATCCAAGGTGGTGATACTTTTGTATATGGACATTTGCTCTCTGTATGCAGAAGATTAGATAGATAGATTGAAGGACTGAAAGGATTGAAGATTACAGTCTGGATAGATTTTATTTTTATATGATGTCATATATGATAAACTGGACTGGACAGAGTGACAGAAGGTACATTTCTTCTCTTTGCTACCCCTCAACAACCATCTAACCTCTTGGTGTTGCTGCATCTTCACCATGCCATATGTACAGAAAGTGTTACGGAGAGGCAACCCACCTGAGATGAGTTAACCAAACCTTTCTACATCCATGTATAGATAATTGTGGAAGTTGAAATGAAGCTTTAGCATGTGTGTCCAGTTCCACAATGATTGAGATTTATAAAACAGAATTAGCTGCACTTGCAGCTCTATGAATCTGGCAAAAACAATGCATATTTCTGTCTGTGTGTACACACAGTTTTCATTGTGAATCTACGCAGATGTTTATGCATGTGGCCCCTGCTGCCTGCATCTGATAATGTTTATTCCCATCGAGGCTACACTTATCGCCTACCGACACACAGCGCAGTACACCTCACGGTTACTTCCCGAGTCAGGCCTCAGCCATGGTTCAAACTTCTTGTCCTCCAACCATTTGTCTTGCATGGCAAACTTGCATTTCCCCTTTTATCTAGGTAGTTTGACACCCGTGCTTAAAGGTTCCTTTGAGTAATGTCAGATGATGTTAAATCTATGAGGATTCCAAACTTTAGCATGCACCCTCTATTGAAAACGTTACCTTGGAAAATGTGGTTAAAGACTTTCTAATACTTTTTAAAGGGCTTTAATTGTGACTAAATTGATTTACAAACTTTTAATACTTTTTAAGACCCTACGGACACCCTATCCTCTAATGCTCATTGGTTGTTGGATCCTGTTAGGCAATAGAACACATAGATGCCTGAATGGTGCAAGTATTGGTAGTTATCTACATTATTTTCCTTCCTGTCAGCATATTTTGCACTATTAGTCAGATTTCTTATGAAATTTAGAAACTTATATGATGTGCTATTTTTAGTTGAGTAACTGCTTGTTGTAGGCGGCTGCATATATGAAAAAAAAACACCTAACCCTAACAAAATTCTAACAAGAGTTTTCTGAGCTGTTTTTTGTAGTATTAGGTGTCCTTAACACAATAACATACTAAAAGTTTACCAAAGTTTGACCACTAGAAAGGTGTAATTTCATTATTACATTATTATATCTTCATTATTATTCAATATCTTTATATTTGACCTAGCCAACGGTATCTTGGTGTCTAACCCATGTTTTCCTGGTTATGATCCATTTGGACCTAATTGCACTGACCAAGATTACATACGATGGAATACATGATTGTTGTGAGGTTACTCGTAAAGGTTGTTGATCTTTGGGTTTGGGGTGAACGCAGAGATGTAACGATTTAACCTATGTCATGTACACTCCTACTTAGTACCAGTGTTTTTTGGAACACATACCCTTTTTTTGCTAAAACACAGACTGACCATTCAATCGTACGAAGTTATTGGCACCCCAAAAGTAACTTAATATGGAGTTGTATAAAATTTTGACCCATCAAAACTCTGAATTAGCCCCAAAACAGGAGCCTGTGTGTGAACCCTCTAAAAGTGACTCATTTCAATTTGAGTAAGGTGATACATTAATGTAATGAATCATCCCTATAGATGTTCTTTGAGTATGAAAGTGGCCATTATACTAAACCCCCAACAAAACTAAATTCCACAAATTTTCGGCAATTCTGAAGATGGTAGGAAGAGAAATCACGGACATCTTGTATTTGCCGCAAAATATCAAATGTCTCTTAGACAAAAGATAATCCAAGGATGATATACAAAAGCCCCATTACTATCGAAAAATATTTTCTCAGCTTTTTATTTACCATTTGAAGCAAAAGTGGCCAATGTCCAAAAATTCTTCATACCCTTTGCAAACTGTCACAGTCAATATGGGCAACAAAATCCAAGTTCTATATCGATTCGCAGACATGTCAACAGCTGTTCTAAAGCATCCCCTACATTAGCCTGATCTCTCATTGGAACCGCTATTTTAATCCCAACTCAACCAGGTGAAAAAGCAGGCAGCTCTCTGTCAAGTTGGTTTGTGCACAGCATGGGCTTAACGACAAAGGAGCTGCACCTGAGGAACCGTGCAGCTGCGCATTGGGGTGCCCTCACAAGTCAGGAAAGGGCTATCAAGGCCCATAGCTACAATGTTTTCAAGTTCCAGTGGCTAACAGTGGCAAAGTATTCATAAACAAAGACCAAAGATGTTCCGCACTGGCTGGAAAATCGTCAGAGGACCGTGGTACGGGACACAGCCAAAAGTCGAACACCCCTGTCGCTGGCC